TGTTTTTTATGTTTGAACTGAAACATTGCATGTAGCATGTATACTTTGAATTGTGTCAATATATAAATGGTATGAGCGAAGAAATTAAATAATTTTTTTGTCAAAAGTTATATTATCAGTAAATTCAGTGTTGTAAATACTCTTCACAAAATTTATAATAAAGCTTCTATTATAGAATGTGAATAGTTCGCGCTTTAAATAATATTGAAAACCAACAACTGGTGAGTGAACATTGTTTTTCAAGGGGACAAGAATGAATTATAATACACACAATTATAATATAACAATTATAATATATTATTATAGTTCTAGCTATGACTGCGTTTCAAGATTGGAAAAATTTTATTGCACAGTTTAGTGAGAATTGTTTAGTGTACTTGTATAAATTCATACTGAAATATTTAATAAGATCAACTTTGGTCGATTATAGGATTTCATTTATCTAATTGATAGAATTCAAATTTATTTATCTAATTATAAAAATTTTTTTTGTTTATAGCATATACATATGCATACATATTAATATTATTTCTTGACAAAGTTTATTTATAAGCGTGTCAAATCAGGAATAAAAAATCTTTTATAAATAAAATTAATATTTCCTATAACTAAGGTAATTAAATTTTATAAGGTACATGTATTATAAAATAAAAAATAAAAAGAATAAAAAGAGGGACTAAATTAATAATATATAATTATATGAAATATATTTAGAAAGGATATAGTTAATGTCACAAATTTACCATTGTATCAATAGAAAGTTTATGATTGATCACAACAATGAGACAGATCCATATTACAACAATTTAATTAATCTTATTATAATAATAAATGATTGTCAAAAATTATTGAGAAATAATTTGATATAGCAGTGAACATAGACATGCAAACGTTCAAAGAAATAAAGCATTTATTTTTATCTAAGGAATCAGTTGACCAACAATATTGGGCTTTTAAAAGATATCATATCACTTTTAAAAAGATATCATAATGTTTTTAACATTAAAGATATGCGAGAAACGAATTCTTTGCAATTAGAATAACTTAGATACTGGTGGTGTACGTCTGTAGGCAAATATAATATATTATTCGTTATAACATTACTCTGAAAAACTAACACTACGCAGTGCGACAAATATGTTCCCGGACACAAACCACATCTCAGCAACCAGTGGCGACATCTGTGCGTTCAAACATGCATTTTAAAGGTTGAACATTTTGCTATCATCTGTCAAAGTTTCATTCATTTTGGTTGACATATAACGAAGATATGACAGTTCATGTTAAACAAGATTTTGTTCGAGGTAGAAATTTTAATATGGAACAAAGAGCAGTGATTAAATTTAACACAAAACTTGGTAAAAGTGCATCAGAAACATTCCGATCGATGCAACAAGTTTACGGCAGTCAATGTGTAGGTCATACAGCTGTTTTTGAGTGGCATAAGCGTTTTTTGGAAGGCAGAGAGACCCTTGAAGATGACAAAAAATCAGGACGGCCAATTTTGGTTCGAACACCCGAAATGATCGAAAAAGTATGTGATTTTGTTGCAAACGATCGCAATGCATCACTAAAAATGATGGAGGAGGCTTTAAATATCAGTAGAGAAACGATTCGAATCATACACATATTTGTCGCACTGTGTACTTTTTTGATCATTTCGGGTGTTTTTGATCATTTCGGGTGTAATGAGGCAACTGATTGAATCAATAATGTCACCATAAGTCTCATTAATTAGTGCTCATTATTTCACATTTTCCAGCAACATATCCAAATTATCATTGAAAATTATTATTTTCGCATCAAGAGTTATTTCAATTTCGCCTCTTATGTATGTGCGATTTTACTTTAATATAGATATTATAATTACATTTTATGACATTGAAGTAATATATTTATGTTCCACAACATCTATGTGTGGATGAGCTTCGCTGTGCGACACAGTGCGACAAATATGTTCCCGGACACGAATCACATCTCAGCAACCAGTGGCGACATCTGTGCGTTTAAACATGCATTTTAAAGATTGCACTATTTAAAAAAAAACTTATAATACATAAGTCTTATTACATCAGTCACTCTGTGGACCGCTCCTACTACATAGAGCAGATTGCTTTTATATCAGAGTATATACTACCCTTGAAAACGTCTCATGCTATGAACTACTACGTTTCAATTCAACAGGATGAGACATATGAGAGACAGTAAGTTTATTCAATTTTTATAAAATTTTGATTATACATTTTATACGTTATGTTTTTCTAAGATCTATTTACACATTTTCTATTTTTTACATCTTCTCATACATCTTCAAAACCTTGCTACACACCTCATATCTTGATGAGGACACATGCATTGACATTGACAGTATATAAGTTCTATATTCGATATCGGGATCGTCGTGGGACCTACATCTCAGAAACGTAAAAATTGCGATCTGTGACAATCGAGACAACCGCATCAAGGCATCCTGTCTCATGCTACGTAGAAGGCGTTCATCGAGAGACGTACAGATATTAAGCGATTAATGCAATCAACTGTCTCATTATCATCACCAATTCAAGATCTGAATGCAGAACTTGTTAAAGTATGTAATATGAAAAATGTAAAGTTATCATTGTATGATACATGCTTGTACATGAAACCAACAATCGTACTCTTCTTATTTGAGCTCGAGCAATGTGTCGAGCATACTATAAAATAAGTCATGTATGCACGGTGTTAGTGAAAAATTGAAATATTTGTATCATTTTTAAGACAAAATTGTATTACTATAATAATAATACTATATAATAAACGCGATGCTGCAAACACTTTGCACAAAAATTTGATAAAAATTCTATTATAGAATGTGAATTAGTGGTCTATGATTTAAATTATATTATACATGCTGCATTAAATATTAGATAAATAAATTGTTACGTCCTACAGACGCCATGATTTTTTTTTCTCTTCGCCGCGACTATGGTTGGCGTCTACGAGACCTGAGCGGCGCTTTCTGATAACGGACTGACAGAACTGAGAAAGCGACAAGCACCGCGAAAACTCGTAAACGTCAATTAATCTAGAAAGAATAATAACTTTAATGTAGGCTCGAAAAGAGACAAGATTGCAAAGACATTATAAATATACCGAAGTCACGCAATAGTAAAAATCTAGGCATCCGAGACTGACTAATAATTTTATCTTAAAAAACAGGCGCCATGTCGCACTTAAAAAAAAAAAAAAAAAACA